TTGTGTCAGTAAAGCGGGCACCCACTGATATGATTTTCAGCTCTTTGATGTCTGATAACTGATCCTTTCTACACCTCGTGGTCAGGCAGGTTGGTGTGCTTCTTCCATGTGGGCTTTGGTGCTTCTTAGCTAGATGGCCGCTTGTTTGCCTTTAAGACCCCAGACGCTATATCTTTTGGTAGCCCGGCACCATCAGCTTTCTTCACCGCCTTTGCTTATGTTCACATTTTTCTTCAGCAATCGTGTCGGGAAGGTGTGCATCCTGGAATGCCAATTTAATAGAACAATGTGTTCTTGCAATGAGTGAGTGCTTGAGTGGAGGCCCAATGTCCATCTGCTGCCTTAATACTAAACCTATAAATATATGCACATAGATGTTTTCTCACACTCATATAAATATATTTACATATGTACATTCCAGTCTTAAAATCTCTATACATGCCCTTTGTTCCCTAGTTCTTTCCTGTATTTCCGTTTGCTTTCCTCTTGTCCCATTATCATGCTCAGCCTTCATTTGGGTTTCAGTGATTTCTCTCGGTTACATTGCCCTTGCTTAATCCCTACCAGGCCTCTCACACCCTCCTTGCCTCTGTTTTTGGATCACTTGTTGCTCCCCTGTCCCTGGGTTGGTCAGCTAAGCCAATTTTTTCCAGCACATTTTCAACGCAGTTTTTTGTAGTAGGTGCCTCGGCTGATATTCGGGTCGGCTTATACTCGAGTATATATGGTAAATCTGATCATTATGAGTGCTTGGAAGATACCTGAATAGTTTCTGTTAGAAGAGGTTGGGCATTTCAGGCAGAGACCATCATAAAAAAAGGCACACTAAGTGGAGCATTTGGGGAACTTCAGGGTTAATTTAGGAATGGATGCAGTAGAAGGCGAATGGGAATCAGAACCAAAGAATTCTGGGCTTTTCAATGTACATAACACATCAAAAGTACTTTCAATTGGAGTGTGAGAATAGAATAGTGGTAGTTTAGGCCAACAATCAGGAGGAACTAACCAAAGCAAATCATGACTTACAAAGGAAAAAGATGGGACAAATTCAAAATATATTCAAGGAGTAATATTGACAGGGTTCTGGAATCATTTGGATAGGCTATTGGTTGCTTGTTAGTATCGTTGATGGAAGAAGCATTATAAGACAAGGAAAAGATTGGAGGAGGAGTAAGAGATAACAATGAAAAAATTTAACCAGCTAATTCTTTACTAAAGAAACATCACCTCTTAAATTTTATTGCTCTTCATTATCTTATTCTAAAATTAAGGTAGCATTATCAGTCATTTCATATAATTTGTATAAGTAATCCAAACAGGTATGTTCCTGAACTCTTCACAGAGGCAGGTAAAGAGAACCGTATTATTTATAGACATTATTGCCAGATGACAGGAGAGGACAAAAATTCATGAAATTAAAGCTTTCAGAATTGCACTGTAATATTTTATATACTAATGATATATGGTGGCGGGGGTTTCCTCTAATTAAAAGATAATTTTTTCCCCATGCATTTTCAAAGCTCTTGTATATGGAGAACTTAATTTTTGCCCGTAATAAATTACACCCCCCAGTACTTTATAATCTTTATTAAATGTTATGTTAATACAGTGTCCCCATGTCTTTCCAGGGCATTCATTAATATAGTAGAATTCACCAAATACTTAACTGTCCTGTCTCATAATTAATTTTTATGAAGTGATGGGAAACAAAGCAAGAGCTAAGTATAAAATGAAATATGGACTATTAAGTGCACATATTTGAAATTTGATTAGTGAAAATGGAGCTAAATTCTGTAATTTTCCTTAAATAAAAATCTTTGCTAAGGATCAGTGATACATAGTCCCAAAATTTTTCAGGAAATTGATTACTGTACAAATACTTTTAAAGAAGGTTAGACTTTAAGAAATAAACAGGATAAAACATCTTGTATTTGGAGATTATTTTGTTTATAAGGAGTTGACAGTAAATTTTTCTAGAGTGACTTGTTTTTCTTTGGCTGATTAAGAACTTTAAAATCAGAAAGCTTATTTACAGCTTTATCAGTGATAATTACATGCTGTCATATTAAAGAGTATTATAAACATTAAATGAAACAGCAAAATGCTTGGTGCATAATGTTTTAAGCACTATCCTTTATTATCCCAACTGCATAGTTTTTAAAAATATTGATAGTGGTACAATTCCTAATACATCTGGTGGCTTCGTGATGTAATTAGGATTCATAAGTATTAAATGCAAGTTATTCTATATTTGAAAATGAATATATTTCTAAAATTATCATAGCTGATAACGTGATTTACTTTCAAGTTTTGTTTGTTGTGTTTTTACTTATATTTTATATGATCATGTATTTTACCTTTAGGTAACTGCTATTGAACCTATAATTAATCATGGTGGAGCCAGTGCAAGCACTCAGCATTTACACCCAAGTCTTCGGTGGCTGTTTGGTGTGGCAGCGGTGGTAACTGATGTTGGACAGATCCTTCTTATTGATCTGTGTTTGGATGACTTGTCATGCAGTCAGAATGAAATAGAGGCATCAGGTAATTCGTCATTCTTGAAGCAAACACTAGAGTATCTGAAAATTCTTGTGTAAAGGATTGTTTTTAAAAACAGAACATTTCATAAAGAAGCATGAAAGGGTTCTTTTTGACTGGTAATTTTTGTATACATTGCTCTTTTTTTAATTGATGAAGTGTGAGAGTAAATAAAGCATTGCTATTGTAGTTCCAGTTCCAAAAGGTCCAATGAAAATAATGACTTTTGAAGGGATCTTGTGGGTCAGTTAAATTTAAGGCAGAGAGGTCATCTCAGAATGTTATCGTGTCTGTTTTTTTGAATCCCAAAGGGATAATCTTGATAGATTTTCTCAAAGGATACAGGGTCATTATGGGAGCTTATAAAGGAAAACAATTAAATTTGGAAACTTCATTAGTTAGTGCGTTATTCTGGGTAGACTAGAGAAACAAATTGATAGACACTCGTATATAAGAAAGAAGTTTATAAATGATTGCAATTGAATATTGAAAAAAACATCCCAGCGCAGTCCAAATCAAGTCCATAAGTCCAATATGTCCGATACCAATCTAGAAAGTCATTTTCAGACTCAGGAAATACATGCCATGACGACAGATGCAGGACTCCCAGAGGGTAGTGGGTACAAAGTCTTTTGGATCCAGTGATGGTAGAAGCATCTCAGCACTGGCAGGGGTCTCCACATGGCTCCTCCAGTTCCCAGGGCACGGGGTCTTATTAGTGTAGTGCCATCTGTCTTGTCAGTAGGGTGTCTCCCAGGGAGTGAGCAGAGTCCCACCTCCAAGGAGGAAACACCAGATTTCCCAGAATTCTCAGGAGAAAGCCATGCCTATGCAGAGGCCTCATTGGAAATAATGGTCTTAGGCAACCCCTGTGAAAATGGTTGTTCAACCCCCAAAGGAGTCACAAACCCACAGGTTGAGAACTGCTGTCTTAGAGAATGCCTCCCATGGTTAAATCACCTTTAAAATAAGTTGTGTAATCACAATCAGTTCTTTTAAAGTCTTCTTGTAAAGCATTCTGTGATTTTTGTAGCAGTACTTTTTGGTTACCCCTATATATGTACACACTAAAGGAAATTATGGTAGAGATGGCGATGCTGATGTATTTCCAGATATATATTTGAATAAGATCTATTCTTTAGTGAATGTTAGTGAAAGTAAAAGGTATAAAATCATATAGGTAGGATCATACGTAGTGATTTTGATATAATGTTTATGTTCCTGTGGTAAGACCAAGACAGAAATAATGTTATTTAATGGGAACGAATAGGGTCACTAAGTGTTAGAATTGGCTTAATGGCATGGCAGTGAGTTGAGATGAGTATTGCATTAGCTATTGGGTAATGATATGAGTATTTTACTCAAGAAAGATGAGTATTTTTTCAGTGATATTTATGAGTAATCATAATTACATTATTCCTAGCAACATGAAAATGATTCAGTTGTGTTTGTTAATATCTAGACCATAATCTAAATTGCCAAGAGTGTCTTTAAAATCTTTCTAGATTTTGTTTGTTTAATTGGGATCCAAATAAAGTCCATACATTGTATCTTATAGTTGTGTTTCAAGTCTCCTTGAATGCAGAATGATTCCCTTGATACCCATTTATTTTTTATTCATTTTTAATGTAACCAATCTGCCTAAAGTACTGAGTTATCTGGTCGAGTACTCCATATTCTGGAATTATCTACACGTCTTCATGTGGGGTCACTTACATTTCTGCAAATGTAAGTTAGGCTGATAAGATTAGATTTAACATTTTGGCTAGAACACTTCAGAGGTGCTGAAGGCCTAAATTTGGCTATCATCAGGAAGCACCTGTTGACTGGCTGTTTCACGTGTAGTGATAACATGAGTTTAGATGCTATTGGCGCGATCCTTCCATGGTACACTTTTCGATGGGTCTTTATCCCAAAGGTGATTATTGCCTTTTAGGCAATATTGGGCAATGTTAGAGGCATTCAGCATGTTAGAAAGACTTAACAATAGTTACTACTACAACCACAATGCCGAGTTAGTTCTGACTCATAGTGACCCTGTTCACGACAGAAACACCGCCAGGTCTGCATTCTTGTCAGAATTGTTCTTATGTTTGAGCCCATTTTTCCAGCTCCTATATCTGTCCATCTTGTTGAGGACCTTCTTCCTTTTCCCTGCCCCTCTACTTTACCAAGAATGATGGTCTTTTCCTTTCTCCCTGGTAACATGTCCAAAGTACAACAATGTGTGGAGGTTTAGAAACCCAACTTTAAACTAGTGGTTTCATCCATTGAAATTATTGCCATGCAAAAAATTATATTGATGTGAATGAAGGGGAGGGCAGACTGGAGACCCACAAAGCCCATTTGTAGACAGTTGGACATCCCCATACAGATGGGTCACAAGGAAGAGACAAACCAGTCAGGGTGCAGTACAGTACTGACGAAACATTCAACTTCTAGTTCTTTAATGCTTCCTCCCCCTCGCTATCATGACCCCAGTTCTATCTACCTTACAAATCTGGCTAGACCAGCACATGTAAACTGGTACAGATAAGAGCTCGCAACATAAGGAACCAGGACAGATAAACCCCTCCAGACCAATAAGGAGAGTAGCTATACCAGGAGAGTAAGAGGAAGGTGGGGGTAGAAAGGGGAACCAGTCACAATGATCAACATATAACCCTCTATCTGGGGGATGGACAACAGAAAAGTGGGTAAAGGGAGACATGGGTCAGTGTAAGGCATGAAAAAAACAATTATAAATTATCAAGGGAACATGAGGGAGGGAGGGTGGCAGGGGGAAAAGTGAGCTGATATGAAGGACTCTAGAAAGAAAATGTTTGGAAAATGATGCCAACCAACATGTACAAATGTGTTTGACACAGTGGATGTATGTATGGATTGTGGTAACAGCCCCCACTAAAATGACTTACTAAAAAAATTATTGCGATAACCTTTCAGTAAGAACTGCAAAGTAACAAATTTTAAGTATTGCTAATCTAAGGGAAAATTTCTCATTTAACTAGGCTTGTTTGGGTACTCTAAGATGTATTTATACACAGAAAATGCAGGATAAATGCTTACTACTATCTTAAGTACTAATTTTCAGAGTGAGACATTAGTATCAACTATATGGTAAGATAGATTGGTAGAGTAGTTATAACAATAGGCTCAAATATAACAACACAGAGTAGTTATTTATAACAGTAGGCTCAAATATAACAACAGATCTGAGGATGGAGCAGAACCAGACAGTGCTTCATTCTATTGTACCTGGGAAACCAACTTGAGGGAACCCACAATAATAATTATATACATTTGTGTACATGTATGTGTACACACAATGCATATACATACATAGTCACACATATATAATGCCAATATGTATTTTTGGTTTTGCCATTCTTTTGATAGCTTCCTAGATTTCTTGCACAAGATATGCTACGCTTATCTTGTTTGTGTCTTGCTCCTGACCTGGAACCAGTCATTTCTCCAAAGAGATTTCAGACTGCTAAATTTGGAAAATAAATTAACAGCTTTATTATGGTCAAGGAAATTGTTTATCCCTTAAAATTTTTACCTTAGATAATACTTGAGGGTGTACTCTGGTGATTTTTTAAGAATTACATAAGTATAAATGTATTTCGAGAGATGATTTAGATAGATCAGGTGGCTATTTCATAGTTCAACATGCTTCAGTATCTTTAATCTTTATTTTGTTTCCAATAGTCATCACTTGCAGCCTAAATAGTACCTGACTCATTTTTCTTTTTGCTTAAAAAGTATATTAGTATATTAATTTTACTTTGTTTTTAGACCTGGAGGTTATAACCGGTATCCCAACTGAAGTACCACACATCAGAGAAAATGTCATGCGAGAAGGACGTCATCTCTGTTTCCAGTTAGTAAGTCCATCAGGAACAGCCGTTACAACTCTTAGTTACATAAGCAGGACGAATCAACTTGCCATAGGCTTTTCTGATGGCTATCTAGCACTTTGGAATATGAAAAGCATGAAAAGAGAGTAAGCATATAATTTTTCTTATTTGTTGACAGTTTCTTTAAAGGAATAACTAGTATACAATATTTTAATTTGGTAGACATGGTTCTGCCTTGTGAATGTGTGTTATTGAAAGTGTTGCCTTCTCATCAGCCCTCAAATAGTATCCAGCCACTTAAGAATTTAGTATGTGCAAGTCAACAATTCATGTGTTCCTGTGTGAAGCCAGCGTAAACTTGTAGAATTTCCTTTTCTCAACAGTATTTTAAATTCTATGTCATTGGCTAAATTAATGACACCATCAGTAGAATTACCTTATGCCCTGGGGGTTCTCTATCATAAAACGATAATGATGGCTGAAGCGAACCAGAAACATGTAAACCATAGATAAATGAATGGATTTGGGGCTTGCACTTAATTCTGGCCCCAGTATAAGAACAAGTAGTTCTTAAGACATGGCCCTGCTTGATGCCCATCCTTATCACTGAAGATACGGGTGCTGTAGCACAGTGTGGTGGAGAAACTAGATGGTGCCCAACTATCAGTAGGAATAGTGGCTGGGGACTTAAAGGCTTGTCTTCAAACAAGCAGCCATCTAAGTGAGGCATCAACTAAGTTCACATGGAAGAACCACACCAACCTGTGTGGATCCAAGGATTGTAAATAATAAAATCCAAAGGAGGGAATAATATGAGAGCAAAAACTCTGAACACTTGGTTTGCAGAAGGCTATGAATGAAAGCCCTACATACATTTGCAGGGTCCCCACTTGAATTAAGTCTCCAGTGAAGACCCTCTGATGATAGTTGAGAAGTATGAGTAACATTGCTGTCAAACAGCATTATAAAATCAATTACGGCAGATGTAGTTCAATTCACATGTAATATCATATTTGATCTCTTTTTTGACCCATTCTAGAGTTGCTTCAATTTTCTATTATTTTTGGTTTTCTTTGTGACTGAGATTTTTCTGTTTCATCTAATTGTGTTTTTTGGTTCTTTGCTTCTTGTCTGTTTTGTGTGATTTTTCTGTGTATGAAATCCAGATTATGAAAAGAAAAGAAAGATATCTAGAATATGTAAATCTGTAGAGACAATAACTGGATTGATAATTGCTTGGGTGTATGGTGAGGGAGTTGGAGGGGAACAGGAAATGAGTAAAAGAAAGTGTTCAGAAATTGATTGTGGTGGTGATTGCAAAATCTTAGTATGATTGAATGATTACGTTGTCAGATAATGTGGCGTATATGCCAATAAAGATATTTTTTTAAAAAAATAGGCAGTGTGACTTGATGAGTAAGAAACAAGTGATAAAGAGACATGATAGGCATGACCTTGGGCGCCAAGTGGACGTATTTCAGTTTTACACTCCAGTTCATGAAGATCTATTGCAGGTTTTGTTTGTTTTAACCACAACTGTATAGAGGAATCATTTAGATACTTTGAAATTCACCCATCTTAAGTGTACAATTCAGCGATTTTTAGGGAATTTACCAGGCTTTACAATCATCCCCATAATCTAGCTTTAGAACATTTCTGTCACTCCAATAAAATCCTTCTAACCTATTTATACCCCCAGACCTGGAAGACTATGAATCTACTTTCTGTTATTACAGATTTGACTTTTAATTACATTTTTTAGAAATCATTTTATTAAGGGCTCATAGAACTCTTATCCCAGTCCATACATCAATTGTGTAAAGCACATTTGTACATTCATTGCCCTTAGTTACATTTTATATAAGGGGAATCATACCATACTCTTCTGTGCCTAGCTCCATTCACTAAGTATAACGTCCCTTAAGTTTACCCATGTAGCTTATGTCAGTACTTCATTACCTTTATCTGATAAATGATATTCCATTGTACAAGTTGGCACATCTTGTTTATTCATCATTGCTTGGACATTTGGGTTGTTTCCATTTTTTGACTTGTGAACATTTGTGTTCAAGTCTTTCTTTGTAGGAGCATATGTTTTTATTTTCTCGGAATTATACCTAGGAATAAAATTGCTTGCTGGGTTAATTGGGGGTGGGGGGGAGGTTACCATAAAGAAATTACCATATAATCAAGCGGCCATCAAGCTCAGAAGCAACAAAGCCCACATGGGAGAAGCACACCAGCCTATGCAACCACGAGGTGTCGAAGGGATCAGGTGTAAGGCATCATCAGAACAAAAAATCTTACCATAGTGAATGATGGGGGGAGTGCGGAGTGGAGATCCAAAGCCCATTAGTAGGCCACTGGAGATCCCCTTGCAGAGGGGTCTCCGGGAGGAGATGAGCCAGTCAGGGTGCGATGTGGCAATGATGAGAAATACAACTTTACTCTAGTTCCTAAATGTTTCCTCCCCGCTCCTACGACCGTGACTCGAATTCGATCTTGCAGGTCTGGCTGGACCAGAGGAGGTACACTGGTACAGATAGGAACTGAAAATGTAGGGAATCCGGGACAGATGAGCCCTATAGGACCAGTGGTGTGAGTGGCAAAACAGGGAGGGTAAAGGGAGAATGGGTAGGAAAGAGGGAACCGATTACATGGAAATGTGTGTGACCTCCTCCCTGGGGGACAGACAGCTGAAAGGTGGGTGAAGGGAGACGTCGGACAGGGCAAGATATGACAAAATACCCATTTATAAACTATCAAGGGCTCATGAGGGAGGGGAAAAATGGGGACCTGATGTCGGGGGTTTAAGTGGAGAGAAAATGTTTTGAGAAACGATGTACAAATGCGCTTTACACAATTGATGTGTGTATGGATTGGAATAACAGTTGTATGAGCCCCTAATAAAATGTTAAATAAATAAAAAAATTTTTACAAAAGAAATTACCATAAAGAAAAAATAATAATATGAATAATTCTAATGTATCAAATCATAATATGACAAGGGAGTGAGTTAGCATGTGAATTTAAGTTGATTCCATGATATTGAAGACACATTTCACTTGTGGTATATCGTATGCTATTAAAATATGCCTTTAAAAAATTAAAACTTCATGTTTGTGTAGGGTGAGTTCTTTTAAAAGTGCTTTTACTCATAATTCTCTAGAGAAAGTAACAGTTAAAAGGATTCTCGATTGCCAGAAAAATAAAATAATGATAAAAATCAGTTCATGATTTTATGCTTTCAATTCTTCCCCAAAATATAATATTGTTACTTTTCATTAATATCTATAGAGTAAAATTGCTGAGGACATATCTTTAAGGGTAGAAGCATTTGCACATTGTGCAATTTCTAACTTAATTGATGCTTACTGTCAATGTTTGTTTCATTTTCAAAGCATGTTGATTATATTTTCTTAACTAATCTGTCTTAGAACTTTCTGCTCATTTCGTGGAATCAAGAAATTAGTGATTACTTGCCTAGATCTGATCATAAGAGTTTACCAAGTTTAAAGTGAAAGAAATAAAAATGAAAGATGGAAGATAGCAAGTAGATTTCACTATTCAATTCTTTGATCATATTTGATGAGTACTATTAAACACTTAATCTCCCTGGGCTTTTTCAGAATCATATTTTCCACCAAAATACCAGTGGTGAAGTAGCTGTGCCTAGAGGTTCCCTATGAGAAGTTTATTTGAATTGTTTTGTTGTTGTTGTTGTTTTTTAATTTTATTGGGGACTCATACAACTCTTATCACAATCCATCCATTGTGTGAAGCACATTTGTACATTTATTGCCTTCCTCATTCTCAAAATATCTGCTTTCTACTTGAACCTTGGTATCAACTGCTCATTTTTTTCCACCCCCTCTCTGCCCCCCCCCTCCTGAGCCCTTGATAACTTATAAATTATTATTTTGTCATGGCTTACACCTTCACACCCACTTTTCGCTTGTCTGCCCCACAGGGAGGGGATTATATGTAGATCCCTGTAATCAATTCCCCCTTTCTATCCCACCCTTCCAGTATTGCCACACACCACTGGTCCTGAAGGGTTCATCTGTCCTGAGTTCATCTGTCCTGGATTCCCTGTTTGCAGCTCTTTTTGTACCAGTGTACATCCTCTGGTCTAGCCAGATTTGTAAGGTAGAATTGGGATCATGATAGTGTGGGGAAGGAAGCATTAAAGAACTAGAGGAAAGCTGTGTTTCATTGGTGTATACTGCACCCTGATTGGCTCGTCTCCTCCCTGCGACCCTTCTGTAAAGGGATGTCCGGTGGGCTTTGGGTCCCCACTCCACACTCCCCTTCATTGAATTGTTTTTATTGCTAGACTTTAGCAACTCATGTTTAAATTGGTCCTGGGACATGCCTGAAAACCCTGACTGATGTTGCAGTGTTTTAGAGGGGTTTTTTTTTTAGCTATTGCTATCTCTTAGCTAATTTTTTTTTTTCTTTTAAAAAGTATATGGGAGATTTTTCAGGGTTTCTATTTCTTCTGTCCTAAACCCATTGCTGAGTCTGTTTTGACTTTTATAGTTAATCCTGTAGGACAAATTAGAGTCTCTTAACAGAGAAGATGGATGACCTAGCTTTGTCCCAGTAAACTACTACTGCATTCAGATTGCCAGCTTTACAGTTAGCACCTCAACACTTCTCTCTTAGTAGTAGTATGGAATTTTTTTCTAAACCCAAGTGGCTGAAATGGAATATATGGCAGAATTTCCTCTCTTTCTATGGCATGTCTTATTGGAGACTAGTGATTAATGATATACTTTTATGTGAATAGGAAAGTTTATAGATAACACATCAAGCTCCTTTTTCATTAAATTAGAACAAAATATGAAATGTACTGTTTTGTATACCCCATACAGATATTACACGCAACTGGAAGGTGGAAGAGTTCCTGTGTTTGCTGTTACTTTTCAAGAACCTGAGAATGATCCTCGTAATTGCTGTTATCTATGGGCTGTTCAGTCTACACAAGATAGGTTAGTGTGGTACATGGTGACAGTTAAAGAATCTTTGTAAACAGTAAAACTTTATGTATTGGAAGACTTTGTTTTCTCTTTTTGTTGTCTTGTTTTCACTTTGTTGTCTCAACGAAAAGGAACAGTTCTTTCAGTGAATTAATGAGTATTAGTTGAAATACTTTTGGTGATTTAATTATTATTTCTCATAATTTTGAGTGGATAGTGTGGTACCAGGAACTTTAAAGGACCTTAGTAGCCAAGGAAAAGGATAAACTAGTAAGAGAATTCAAATTCAAACTGTGACTCTAAAATCGGCTCTTTCTTAACCCTCACTGCATGTTGTGCTCGAGTAGTACAGCGTTGATTTGGTATCTTTGTTTTATGTATAACCCTCATTCCTATGATCCATGGCAACATCTTCATTCTCGTTAGAAGCATAATAAGCTATGGTAAGAGACCAGGTAGATGGAGTAAGAACATGCTGTCACTTAGGGAGGGTTCCAATTGTTGTCCTGTATGCAGATGTTATTCTGCTTACATCCCGTTGGTTAGAATTTGACCACCACTTACCATAGAGGAAGCTGAGAAACACAGTCTCTGTTTTGTCGGCTGTGTGTGCTTAAAACCAAAACAAATCTGTTTGGGGGGGGAGGATATTGAGTTGAAAATTATTATAAGTCTCTACCATATGAGGTGAGGTATCACTTGAACTGTGCAAACAACATCAGCTTAATTAGATGGATTTTAACAATCAGTTACTGTTTGAAAAGACTTTTGTTAAAACAGCCAAATAAAACTTCCTCACAGTGATCTTTGTTTTGTCACATGCAAGTTTTTTTTTCCAGAGAATAAGACATTGAATGTAGGAATATGATCTTTAGAATATCTCCTTGGATAACTTCTATTTCTTTTCCAGTGAAGGGGATGTTTTGAGTTTACATCTGCTCCAGCTGGCCTTTGGTGATAGAAAGTGTTTGGCTTCAGGACAAATCTTATATGAGGTAAAGGGTAATGGTAATATGGATAGTATGTTACCATTTCATTCATTGTTTATCTAGTTTGTTTTTCTTCTTTTAAGATCCTGAAACGTTAGTCTTGTATTCAAGTTCAGATTGTAGTTATAATGTAGTTGAGGAAAGATTTGGTTTAGTAGGTATTTTACCTAAGCAGCATTCTTGATGTCTCCAGTTGTCATTTTCTTTAAATCAGTGTAGGTTGACTAGAATCGAGCTTGTGATTGATAGCCAAAACAAAATTACTTGCAGTCTTTTGCTTAGACCTAGCATATCAAAAATTGAAGCCTGTAGAGATGACTTTCTAAATAGTCCTGCTCTTTACAGTTGTAAAAAAAAGTAAATAACATTCAGTTATTCAGATGATTACCCTTTTGTGTGTGGCTGAATTTCAACCCTTAGAATACCTGTTTCTAGAAAAGTTTCTAAAAATATTTGAGGGGTATATGGTTGGGGTTTTAGAGAATCCATCCATGGCCTCTGAAATTGTATATGGATATATATAACTCTGCATTTTTATCATGAAAGACTTGGCTTTTTCAGATTCTAAGTGGATTTAATAAAGAAAAAAGCTCTAATATTCAAGGGCCAGAATTTCTGAGAAAATGGGGAGATAGGATTCCTGGTCTAGCAATGTGGTGTAATTAGGTTATTACTGTGTTACTGCAATATAATGTAATCACAATGATCCAGCCAGGATTATTAGGGTTCTCATGGCCAATAACAACTTTTGAGATTGTATTATTAATTATTTGTGAAAGACTCAATATAAGAGCTGGGTTTTATGGAGCCTTTTAAACTTTGTTTTTGTTCTTTGCTTATTCTTTTAAGTCTAGTTTTAAAAGATTTTTCCTTTGTATTGTGTCTAAATGTTTACATTTAGAGAATACTTATTGGATGACTTTTTTGCTTGGTGTCATACTAGTATAAATTTGTGTATAATTCTGTTTCAGGGATTAGAGTACTGTGAAGAAAGATACACGCTGGACCTCACAGGTGGCATGCTTCCTTTGAGAGGACAGACCAGTAATACCAAACTGTTGGGCTGTCAGAGTATAGAGAAATTTCGATCTCATGGTGACAGGGAAGAAGGCATGACTGAAGGTTGATTAAACTTCCTTATATCTTGTACATTGTTGATTTAAAATTACGATACATTATTGGTTTCTAGAGTTTATAGTCTTGGGAGGTAAAAATTGAAACAATAATTATAAAATGTATTCATGTCTTTATGAAGTACTAGGTATTTCTTGCTCTCTCTAGATTGCTGTGTAGAACTCAATTATTGAATAAGGGTAATGAGGGACCTTTGTATTTTAATCTAGCTATCTCAACAGAGAAACCGAAGTGGTCTATCATCCTAATTATTGTGAAATAAGAAGCACAGTATCTACTGAAACATGCCTGAGAGCAATGCTTCTTTTTTTTTTTTAATCATTTTATTGAAGGCTCATACAACTCTTTTTTTTTTAGTTATTTCAGTTTTTAATATTTTCTACAGATACTTTTTCTCTGTTTCATTTTTTTTTTTTTAACATTTTATTAGGGGCTCATACAACTGTTATCCCAATCTGAGCTCTTATCTGTACCTGGGTTCTCAGTATCTATTCATCCCTTTCTACCCTTGCCTGCCTTTTGAACCTTGGTGTTTAAGCTGCCCTTTTGGTTGCTTGTCTAAAGGCCATAATCTTGGTGTTTGACTAATCTCCGTCAGATCAGTAAGTTTTATTTTATT